TAGCCTATTCTTTCGCGCGAAAGGGAAACACATTGACGTCACATACATTGCGCATGTCATGAACCGTCGAACCGTGCGACGCATGTATGCTCCGAACCGAGACAAGCGAACCGAACGGTTCGGTTTTTTTTCATGAACCGTGCCATCCCTAAAGGGCAGTGACTTATCCATTCTCTAAACGATATGGGATGACAGCACACCCTTAATATCCGCTATACTGTTATTGTGCATTAAAATCAGGACCTCAACGATTTGTAATAGAAACCAATAGTATTTATTCCTGGTTGCAAACAACTCTAGAGCTTCAGTTGTGACATTGCATGGAATCCCAGACTTCACAGCTACTTCGACATTATGATGGTTGTTAATGGACTGTGAGTATCGGACAGGTATCCGAATAATGTGCTCATCATCTGTTACAGTGTACAATATTAGGCCAACCCATCCAGCGCTTAATTAACTCTGAAGTTCTTTGACCGACCTGTAGCTGGGATTTTGTTGCTCGTCACAGGCTTGATGATCAATGAAATAATCTTGAATAACTACAAAGTCATAAACTCATATATATATATATTTTTTTTTTAAATGATGTAATGCAATCTCGCTAGTAGTGGCATTAATGCAGTTATGTAGTGGATGGTAAAACAATTCCTTCTCTATTTCTGGATTCTGTCATAACCAATATCTAATATGTAAAATTTGAATAACATAAAGATCTCCATCCATATAAGGTTCCTTCATTGGTGCCTCTCTGCTACCGTCTTACGTTGTCATTCCGTCTATTATTGCAGCCGTCTGCAGGCTACAAACTGCCACTGTAGTAATGGCGGCGCTCCGAGACGGCAGCCCCCACAAACCAGTCGGCGGATCACTCTATAAAAACTTTGCCTTGTGACTCCCCGCCAGCCTGAAAGTGTCCTCGTGAGGGGGGACCTGCAAGCCACCCGACTGCCGCTGCCAAGTTTCCCCGCTGAGGCTCACCTGGTGGAGTTAATGTGCCGCTGTTGTTCTGTCTCTGTAAGGAGTCTTTGTAGCAGACGGAGCACATCCCGTTCGTGCGAGCGTTCCCATAAAACCCACACCCAGTCGCACACAGCATTGGCACTTGGGTCTGCTTCGTTTCTTGGGCCATCTCCACCCTGCAATGTTACAATGACACATTAGCTGCAATGGCTGCATCTGCCAGGCCACAGAAAATAGTCATGAGGTTGTGTTTAAAAAAAAAAAAAAGACAGCAGAGTGACACGTCCAACTCGCTGGGGCACAGCGAGAAACCCACTCTTGTGCCAACTGGTATAAGCGGCGGTCTTTTTGTCACCAAAAGAGCATTCAGGAGAACCTGTTTGACTTGCCAGCATATCACTGGACCACTTAAGAATACAGTCAAACAAGCAGCATGTAAATACATGCAGTAATTAGCATGATGCTGTAGTGTTTTACTACAGAAAACAGCAGCCTGCAAATTATCTGATGAAACAATTCAAATCTGCATTCACAAGGAGTAAAACATCCCCGCAGGCTGCTCCTCTCTAACATGCACGTCTCAACAAGGAGATGAGGCTGAGGTTGGTATCATAGCCCACACCCAAAGCCCCACAATACCAAGCCTTCATGAGCTGATCAATGATGAGGGCTGCGCATTAACCCTCTTCAGTAAACCGTATCAGTATCACACAGAGCCACCAAAAAATGAAACGATTCTATCATTTTGCACAGTTGGATATTGATGAAATTGTACTGTACATCTCTATTGCACACATCAAAAAGTACAGCCCCTTCACGCAGTTACATCATGTGCTTTGGAGAGAAACACACCACTTTCATGTGTCTCCTGTGCAGAGAATCTACACAAAACCAAATCACTGTTACCTACTGCCCACCTGAAGTTTATAGACAGGATGCAGAAGTGAGATATGGCATCATTTTTGCTTAAAACCAAACATAAATGGTGAACCTATAGACCTGACAGCTGCAGTATGCAAACGCTGAGGGAAACACGTCTAACTCAGCGAAGCATCTGTCTGTCGCTCACCCGGATTAATATAAGGAATTTAAAGATTGTCAGGTGTACATAAGCACAGGTGTGTAGTTTAGTCTGAAGTCTAGACCAAGATTTTGTTTCAACTAACCAGTTGAGTACTCTCTGACTCTTTATAATCAACTGGTTTTTTGAAACAAAATCTTGGTCTGAACTCTTACGCTCTGGACCTAAATTCTGACGATAACGAACATAAGATGTATCATAGTGACGTAGTTTAGTAGTTATGTTGTTTTGGTTCAGTTTAAAAGTTATGTTTATTTTAAATAACAATTCATTCATATCCCTTTCCCCAGTAAAAAAGTAGGCTAGGTTAAAGAACAGATCAAACACAAATATGTTATCAGTGAGGTTTTGTAATGGATGAGGCCATATTAATTTCAGAATGTATTTAATGGAGTTTAATTAATGTATGCATATTTCACTGATAATGTAAATAGTATATTAAAGCCTATATTGCACTCCTGTTGGTTTAAATCAGAAATAGGCTTGTTTATTTCAAAGTGTCTCTGACATAGTTTGGGGAAACACAATGTTTTCTGTTTAAATTCAGCAATCATTTGATACTTTTAATTTGTTGTCTACAGGACTGATTTCTTAACACCAAGGTACCAAAGCTGGTATCTAAGGGAACATTTTGGTATCGGTCCAGGTCAGTCACATACTAAGGCCTCACATTGTGTGGGGAGCAGGAAGTGAGATCATTCCACATGTCATCCAAGGCAAACTGGTCAACAAACACCTTGTGGGAATGGCCTCTTTAGACAAACTGCATTGGGGTCATCATGCATCTCAGCAGGTGAGGGAACAGGGGAAAAGGCAGACTCCACTTTTACTTGCTCTGGTGAAAACACACATATGGCTGCACAGTTGTACTTCAAGGAACTCATGCAAATCAATTTTCTTAAGTCAGGATTAAGAGCCATTGCCAGCTATTGTACACATGAAGCTTACTAAACAATTATACCAGCTTATCCCAAGACCAGTTCTAAGAGATGACCTCAATCATGCCCGGTTTGAAGGGCACAAACCAAGGGCCTTATTCAACTGCCAGCAGGGGGATACGACAACAAGCATGACAAGTTCGGTCCGGGCTAGATCAGGCCACTTTCAGATCACAGGCCCAGAACCAGACTTCAGTAGAGCGCCACACTTGAACGAAATGCCCTCCACTACATGAAAAAGCTCAAGCAAGTAATGCAAAACAGTTCCTGGATTGTGTTTTCTTTTCCTTCTTAAATGATGAGCATTTTACTTGGCCCATTTACTATCTGGATATTACTATCTGGATACATATATATATATATATATATATATATATATATATATATATATATATATATATATATATATATATATATATTACAATTACGAGATGAATAACTACTGGAGCTCTGCACCCCAGTGACAACGACTTGCCGGAAATCACTTCTGTAACATTTCTGACACCTGTAAGAAACCAAAATGTCATCCCAAAGGATGTTTTTACCGTCTCCATAGTACTAGTCTACAACAGCATGAAAATGGAATTCACAATCTCTACAGACACCCAGGAAGCAGGTACATTACTTCTGACCTCCCCGGACAGATACGAAGCAACAAACACTTCTACTATTAAAATCCATAACGTTATCAAAAACTTTGGAAATCAGCCTGGTTAGACACAAAAATATGCAAAATCATAGTGAACTATGAAGAGGAAATGGAACTATAGAGAGGAAAGAGCCTGTACATTGAAATTTAATAACGGACAGCAACAAACTGAACAAGACATATGTTCTGTATTGTTTTTAATAAACACAAAATTAAGTAATTTCCTGGAATACACAAACAAAATTTAAGTTCTCAGCATCAGGTACCATTCAGCCATCGGAGTCACAGCAATCCTCAAACATTAAAAACATCATAAATAGCAGGTTTTAAATAGGTGACAAGGCCCGAAGAGCAATTCATACACTTAGAGCATAAATGCGTTGAGAATGTTAAGTAAAATAATACAGTGTTTGTGAGGATTAAGATGTTAAGCTACAGGACGCGGGCTCCATCACCTGAGAGAAGCGACTTAGATAATGACCCTCCTACAATGTCCCCGCAAAGCCTTCCTGTATTACTTTCTATCCACGTCTGTCCCAAACAGTCCCTGCCCGGGGAACCGCTGTACCTCTGGGGACAGACCAGTGGGGTTGAATCACTTTAAAATTAGTTGCCAGGTAAAACGACCACATCTGAGCACGGCCGCGCACAGAAAGCCGAACATACACCGAGTTGTTTTAGCCATACGACTATGCTAGTTAGTGTGGCTGATACCTGGGTTAACTATTAATACAGCAAATGTAACTAGTTACAGTAACTAACAAACGCCTGCCATGTATACGTACCAGCAAGTTGGCTAGTTAAGGGGAAAATTCAACAACTCCCAAACTCACACAAACAGACATAAAGACATAAAAGCAAACTGGTACATGCAAGGCCGCCCGTCATTTTTCGTAGCAAATCAACTAAGACTAAGCTGACTTCTGACTAGCGGTCTCTAACCTACCCGGTTCGCCAAATCGCCTTAACAACCTTTTCTTTCCTGTCGCAACAGTGCCCTTTTTGTTCGGTTGTAACCGGCGAAATCTGAGAGAAAAATAATAAGCAAAGTTTTAAACGTCAGAATTTACCGTTATTTTTTACTGGAAAACAAAAACTGAGCGGTTTCCTCTCGGATAACGAGCGTTATATCAAACATACCGACGATTTAGTGCCCCTTTCTACGCCTCTCTCCGTCAGCCCACCGAGTCCAGCTTGACTACAAACGCCAAAAGCCCACCGTCTGAGGCGGGACTTACAGAATCTGCGTTTCGATTGGAGAACATTGCACTTCACCCCTCCCTTCTTATCTCTCATTGCACAGCGGAAACATCAATCATAGTTATGGCGTTTTATGAAAAGGTAGGTTACACGAACAGAAAATGTTTAATAGCCGTCTTAAAGGTACAATTCATTATTGCGATTAAGTATCCATCCATCCATCCTCCAACCTCTTATTCTGGACAGGGTAGCTGGATGTAAAAAAGCATGGCAGATACCCAGAAGTATAATATCATTTAATTACTAGTTAAAATCAATTTAATTAAGTATTAACTGAACAAAAGTAATATACCTGGGTATGGGAAACCTTCTCAAACCATTAAATAGTTTGTTGAAAATGCAAATAATGAACGTTATCATCTAAAACTCCTAAACGAATTAATGTATGAATTATCTTGTAAGTATTGTGGTTACTAAATTGTTCAAAGTTAAATTTAGCTGACATTACTGATGGATAAATACTATATTGTTCACATTCTTAAATACGTCATGGATACATTTTCATTTGTTTATTACTGTTACAAGACAATGTGGTTAAAACAGTACTATATATATATATATATATCTCTTTATTGATTGACTGAAGACACCACCTGTTGTGATTTTGTTGACAGGCATTAAAAAGGAAATACACATGATATTTAGACTGATACTAAATCGACAAAAAAGAATGCTTGTGAAGTTTTCATCATAGCCGTTGATTGACAACAGCAACAAGCAATAATACAAGAAGAAAACCAGTTAATTAAATATATAAAGTTGCTTGAAGTGAGAAATCTTAGAGGTTGTGTAAATCCTGCCTATGCATAACCATAACTAGTTACGTGACTGTGCTGGTTACTTCTGCACTCACCCAACTTGTTTACAGCAGTGTTTATCGCTGTCTCTGTCTAAACACTATTACGGGTCATTTTTATATATGATCATCACCAACCCATTTAACATGTATAATGAAAATTCAGGGTAAGGCATATTCTTGAGTGTTTTCCTAGACGTGAAAAGTGATCGGTAAGTATCGATCTAACGTCAGAGTTTGTTCCCTGAAGGCCGGCCTTCGCACCACGGGTGAAACGGGGACTGCGCGACACCGACCGTGGAGACGTCGTCAGCATGGCCGCCTTGCATGCAGCGAAGCGAGCGCTCAGGAAGGAGATCAAGACACGACTGGCCGCGATAGGCGCAGAGGAGAAACGTCGACAGTCTCGTATCGTTACACAGAAGGTACGTATTTAAGAGACGAAAAGGGGTATCGGTCTACCGACGCGGGTTGGTGACAGCGCTGTGGTGTCGCGCTGCAGAAACATTGCAATAGTGTGATGGCTGCTCGGTGCAAATACATGCATGCATTGTGAATAATAGAGGACAGGATTGAAAACTAAATATTAAAGATTTTACACAAGGTTCTTTTGTTTCATCGATGGTTTAATATTTATCGTAGGACACAAGAGGTAGCCTACGCGATAACTTTGGAGCACATCATCCGATTTAAATATATAAATGTCGGACTTAGATCACAGTTTTATGAGTGCAATGGCGCCCTCTGGTGGTAACTGTTACGAAGTGACCCACACATTGTAGCCTCTGCTCTAGAGTTCACCAGTAAATAATAGATGAATGTCTAAAAAGTTACATTTACAATCTAAATCTGCTTCCGAAATTCCTTAAATAGAACATTGAAACAAATGAACATTGCTTATTTATTTGTGTTTGTTTATTTAGCTTTTGAAAACGTTAATGCTTTAGTCTTTCTTCCTTAGCTACTCCAACATCCGAAGTACGAGAGCTGTTGCAGGATTGCAGTGTTCCTCAGCATGCCGGATGAGATCCACACAGAGGAGATCATCGAGGACATCTTCCAGAAGGGCAAGGTGTGCTTCATTCCCAGGTACCTACCCAACAGCAGCCACATGGACATGCTGAAGGTGACCGAAGCCAAAGACATTCAGTCTCTGCCAGTGACGTCGTGGAACATTCGCCAGCCTGGAGATGAGGAGCAGGGAGAGGAGGCGTTAGCCACAGGTAAGGCTGTTTGTTTGTAGTAATTTCACCATCATCCTGTATTAAAAAGGTTAATAAAAAGTGAGAATACTGAAGAATCACATAGCCTAAAATGCTTAGTGCTTAGCTGTGAATGCATTTTAAATGAAATTAAGCTTTTAAGTGTACTTTTACATCAAACTAGATTACCAGGTTTTTTTGGCAGGTTTGGTCCACAATGTTGACTGAGCATCATGTAATTGATAGAGTTGCGGTACTCAGGTGTGACTGAGTCCACATACTAAGGGATTCATTCCTGTCTTGGGTGAATTTAGGCTTGATCTTGACTCTCACTTGAGCACTCCTGACTCAGAAAACCTTCCCAAGTCCATTTCATATGTCTGCTGCCTTTCTTGCAGTTTCCTGTATTAGCTTCAGTGTTTTTCCACACTGTGCCCCACCCCACATAGCTTACTCACGTCTTCATGATGTCTGCGTCCAGAACCAATTTTAAATGTGCTCAGCAGAATATAGTCACATTACAATGGAATTAATAATGAATACAGGATGCAGTGGAGGTGCGTTTCTGTTACCTTTGACACATTACTTATTTGTTAGTGAAAAGAAAAAAAATTCTGGAAATGTTGAAAAATTGAAGTATTAAATTACTCTCCCAGTGTACAGTCAAGCTCTATTCACAGAGTTGGGGGTGAGGTACGAGCAGCCAACCGTGGAGCCGTTTTGGTGAAATTCCCCTGTAACGACTTGACGGTGTTCTCATACTACCTTAGATTACCAACAGTATGTACGTAACGTTGCCAGAAGATGGCGCTGTGATCCCTACAGTGGGCCAGAAGGTGGCTAATTTGTGCCAAAACCAAAGAACGATGGTGACGTTAAATTTCTCGGTTATACGTTCATGCAGAAAAATTGCCTTAAGAGGAGTCGTTTCCAAGAAAATTGATTTAATTAATGTTTGACAGTAGTGTTAAGAGGAAAGGCGTTTTTATTGTTTGCAGGTACTTTTACTATGGCGACATAGTTCCATCACATGGGATTTTAAAATAAAATGCTGAGGTATGTCGAGATAAAGTAATTAGGAAGGAAAATGTGGAGATAACACCTGTTTAAGTCTTATGGACAGTATAACCTTTACGGAACAAAGAAGCTGCCGTTATCTCGCAACACCTTGCAGCCTGTCTAGGCCCGTCAGTCCGGCTGGCTCTTAGCGGAACACAATGAAAGTCCAATTAACTGTAGTTTGAAGCCAATCTGTTCACGTCTCAGTTTTCCGTCCAGCTCTCCGCCCCTATCCAGTGTTTTTAAACTCTGCACAAAACTTGATCGGCTTTAGTGCTGCCGTGACTGAAATGCTTTCAGAAATGTTTATTGTACTGCTGGACTTAATGCCACAGAGGGATATATCAGAGAAAGGGCAGACCTGGAGGGCAGCCCCAGTATCAGTTAGCCTAGAGGAAATACCCCCCCCCC